TGATGATGACGATGATGTTGTTGTTGTTGTTGTTGTTGACGATGATGATGATGCTGATGATGATGATGATGATGATGATGATGATGATGATGATGATGATGATGCTAATGATGGTTATGCTGCTGCTGATGATAATGGTTATGATGATGATGCTGCTGCTGATGATGATGATGATGATGATGATGATCATGATGATGCTGATGATGATGCTGATGTTGATGATGATGATGAGGAGGAGGAGGAGGAGGAGGATGGTGATGATGACGATGAGAAGGAGGAGGAGGAGGAGGAGGAGGAGGAGTTTCTTCTGTTCTCTGTATAGGCATCGACCTCTTGCCTCACCACGGACGAACGAACGAGGAGGAGGATGTCTGTAACGGCAGAAGGGTTAGGAGAGGAGCAATGGTCCCACATAACGGGACACAACCATACAACGACGCCAGGGGGGCGCGGCAGCAGGCGCAGCGGCCAGATCATGGCAGAAGTCGGAGAGCAGCATTGGCGAGAAGCCAGAGAATCGCATCAAGTCGCTGATCGTGTGGAGGCCCTCCATGTGCGAGGGCCAGAACCTCATGGAGGTGAGAGAGCTTGACTTTGTGGTAGACCTCGTCTGCCACGACCGCCGGGGTGAAGTCGTCAACCGAAGATGCTGTGTCAGGTCCAACCTGCCCAGCCGGCCGCAAGGCAAAACTTGGTTGGACACGTCGAACATCGGCCGCCAAATCTTCAGGCATATCACGTAATGGGGCCAATGATCACAAGCCCGGCAGCCGAACAAGCATGAGTGCGTCAAGCCCCCCACCCGCCACTCCCCAGCACCCCCTGGGCAAGCGCCCTCGGCTCAGAACGCCAAACAACCTGGGCCTTGGCTGTCCCAGGCGGCCCGCAGCGCCGCCACCGCCCGCTCGCCGCTGCGATTGCCCCCCAGTTCCAGACACCGCAGGGCGGGGCGCGGAGGGCAGCGCCCCCCCGCCAACGCTTGCGCCACGTCGCCGTCGGTGCCGGCGTCCTCCAGCCGCAGCCTCGGCAGGCCATGGGCGTCGAGGGCAGCGCCCTACCAAAGGGCCCAAGCCCCGGCGCCGCCGCTGCCGCTCCGGGGCCCAGGCGCAGAGCCCCTGCAGGCCGGGCGCCGAGGGCAGCGCCGCCGCGGGCGCCTCTGGGAGCCCGCGCCGCCGAGGGCGCGGCCGCGCAGGTCCTGCGACCGCAGGGCGGGCACGGAGGCGGAGGAGGAGGAGGAGGGAGGAGGAGGAGGAGGAGGAGGGAGGAGGAGGAGGAGGAGGGGGAGGAGGAGGAGGAGGAGGAGGAGGAGCAGGAGGAGGAGGAGGAGGAGGAGGGAGGAGGAGGGAGGAGGAGGAGGAGGAGAGGAGGAGGAGGAGGAGGAGAGGAGGAGGAGGAGGAGGAGGAGGAGGAGGAGGAGGAGAGGAGGAGGAGGAGGAGGGAGGAGGAGGAGGAGGAGGAGAAGGAGGAGGAGGAGCAGGAGGAGGAGGAGGAGGAGGAGGAGGAGGAGGGAGGGCAGCGTCCCCGCCAGGGCCTCGGCGCCCGCGTGGCCGAGCTCGCAGCCACTGCGGGTGCAGCTCCGCCGGGCGGGCGCGCCGCCGCAGGGCAGTCGCCGAGCCCCGCCGCCTGCGCGCGGGGGTCGGGGGCGGCAGCCCGCAGAAGTCGGGCTGCGGTCGCGCCGCCCAGCCGTGCGCGGCTCATCTGCCGAGCGAGCGCCTGCACCGCCTCCGGGTCCGCGCCGCTGGTGAAAACCCTGCCCTCGATGAGCCAGTCGAACTAGGCCGGGCCACTGGCGGCTCCCTGCCAGCCGCTGGCGCTCTTGCCCCCTGCCCCAGGTCGGCCACGGCGTTCCACGTCGCATCCCGGCGCTGGAGCTGCTTGATCTGCTCCGCGGAGCAGCGCTCATACGTCGCCCAGCCCGACTGGTCGTAGCCGCACCCGCCCGCGCTTCCCCGCTCCTGGGGGTGCTGGGTCAGCAGGAAGACGGTGGTGGCCTGGTGGGCGTACAGCCGGATAGGACCTAGGACAGAAGAAGATCCTTCAAGAACATGCGACCCTCTGCCGGACAGACTGAGGAACATTCGAGGGTGCCCCCCCCCAGGATGCACAAGAGCATCCAGCAAAACACGAAGAGCAGTACAATACCCTCCCCCCGCCGACCTCGATCTTACACCTCGGCCCGACCGTGCCACAGGCCCATCGCCTCGTGCAGGGCGTGCTGGAACGCAGCCTTCTCGGCGGCGGTCCGCTTCGCCTCGTCCGCGGCCTCCCGGGCATGCCCTTCGCCTTTTGCCCTACCGCAGGGGCGGCGCTCTTCGCCTCCTCGGCCTTGCATGCTCGAGCCCGTGAGCCAGCCCACGGCCTTCGCGACGTCAGCGAAATGTAACGTGAAGGCCACCTGGCCCGTGGTACCGAAGCCCCTGGACTCCTTCATGCCGACTTTGTCGGCCATCGTGGGGACCACGGGTGCTTGATGGCGAACTTGCCTTCGTAAGGGTCAAGAATCTGATCGACGATGGGACTGTAGACATTCTCGAGCTCCTCAGGCTTCTTCAGACCGCATAAACCAGCCACGAGACTAGACCTGGCTGGGATGGGGGAGCCCTCGACGACGGCCATCTTGAAATCGGCGACCTCGTTGCGTTTTCCGATCGCCGCGGCGTATTCAGGGCCCGTGGACCAGCCCTTCTTGAAGGTGTCAAATTGCAGCATGAAGGCCATCTGGCCTGTGGTACCAAAGTCTTTGGACCCCCTCACCCCCATCTTCGCGGTCATCGGGGCGATAGCGCGTGCTTCCGGATACGCTTTCCTCCGTAGGGCTCACGGGTTGACTCGACATGGGCTCTAGACCAATAGACATTCTCGAGCCCCTCGGGATCCCTCAAGTCGAACAAGCCGTAGACATAGCTTTTCCTGTCCTGGGCGGGAGCGGCCGGCGCCAGTACCCGACGCCACGCAGCAACGCGACCCAACGGCGCAACGGCGTACCAGCCTGCGGGGGCAGCCAACCGCAAACAAGTGAGCCAAGGGAACGGTGAGAATGGGATGCGGATGAGGATGAGGACGATGATGATGAGGACGATGATGATGATGATGATGATGATGATGATGATGATGATGATGATGATGATGCTGAGGATGGTGGTGATGGTGGCGATGATAATGTGGTTGATGATGGTGACGACGATGACGATCATGATGCTCAGGACGATGCTGATGCTTCTGCTGATGATCATGGCAACGATAACAATGGTGATGCCGACGACGATGATGATGATGATGATGATGATGATGATGATGATGCTAATGATAATGCTGCTTATGATGATGCTGATGATGATTGCAAAGACGACGACGACGATGACGATGTCGGTGACGACGATAACGATGACGATGACGAGGATGATGATGGGGATGCTGATGATGATTCTGACATATTATGAGGATGCTGGTGTCGATGACGATGATGATGATTCTCACGATGACGATGAAGATGAAGATGATGATGCTGATGATGATGATGATGATGATGACGATGATGATGCTGTTGCTGATGATGACGAGGATCATGTTGATGAGGCTTCTGGTGATGATGATGCTGATGGTGATGCTGCAGCTGACGATGATGGTGTCGATGCTGTTGCTGATGATGATGATACCGATGATGATAATGCCGATGCTGATGCTGAAGCTGATGCTAATGATGATGATGAGGATGACGGGATATAATGCAAATCATGGTGATAACGATGGTGATGATGATGCTGCTGATGCTGATGATGATTCTGATAATGGTGATGGTGATGGTAATGATGATGGTGACGATGATGCTGCTCATGATTCTGCTGATGATGCTGAAGATGATGCTGCTGCTGATGATGACGATGACGATGACGACGATGATGACGATGACGATGACGATGACGATGCCGATGCCGATGATGATGATGATGATGATGATGATGATGATGAACATGATGAACATGATGATGCAATACTGGTGACGACGGCGATGACGATGCCGACGACGATGATGATGATGATGATGATGATGACGATGATGATGACGATGGTGTTGAGGATTTCGATGAGGCCCAAGAGGGAAGAAACATGTACGGAACACGACGTCAATAATTATTCAGCATGTGGGGGAAGCGGGTCCTGAGGGAAACGGGTCCTGGACCCTGGGGCATACCCCCGGGACCAGTTCCTCATCGCGCATCGTTCCCTGACGGTCCCGGCGCCTGTAGGGGGCCCCGACGGCGCAAAGCCTCGGGACCCGTTTCCCTCAGGACCAGTGGCCCCCCGCGGAGGAGGAGGAGGAGGAGGAGGAGGAGGAGGAGGAGGAGGAGGAGGAGGAGGAGGAGGAGGAGGAGGAGGAGGAGGAGGAGGAGGAGGAGGAGGAGCGATGAGGAGGAGGAGGAGGAGGAGGGAGAGGAGGAGGAGGAGGAGGAGGAGGAGGAGGAGGAGGAGAGGAGGAGGGAGGAGGAGGAGGAGGAGGAGGAGGAGGAGGAGGAGGAGCGATGAGGAGGAGGAGGAGGAGGAGGAGAGGAGGAGGAGGAGGAGGAGGAGGAGGAGGAAGGAGGAGGAGGAGGAGGAGGAGGAGGAGGAGGAGGAGGAGGAGGAGGAGGAGGAGCGAGGAGGAGGAGGAGGAGGAGGAGAGGAGGAGGAGGAGCGATGAGGAGCGATGAGGAGGAGGAGGAGGAGGAGGAGGAGGAGGAGGAGGAGGAGGAGGAGGAGGAGGAGGAGGAGGAGAGAGGAGGAGGAGGAGGAGCGATGAGGAGGAGGAGGAGGAGGAGGAGGGAGGAGGAGGAGGAGGAGGAGGAGGAGGAGGAGGAGGAGGAGGAGGAGGAGGAGGAGGAGGAGGAGGAGGAGGGAGGAGGAGGAGGAGGAGGAGGAGGGCAAGGATGGTGACGATGGTGACGATGCTGGCCCCGCGGCCCCGTGCCGCGCGCGCGCGCACGAGGGGCGGAGGCGCGGCGCAGGCCCGCCCCGCCGCCAGCCTGCGAGGACCCAGCCGGTCTCCCAGTCCCAGGTCATGTTGGGCTTCGGCGTGCCCTGGCGGCGGCCGGCGGGCCGGGAGGGGGGCGACGGGGGGAGGAGGGCGCGGAGGACCCAGACCCCCTCGCGTTGTGAAAAAATCACGACGGGAGGTTTTTCATGATTCTCGGCCTCCGGGGGCCCTTCCCGGGCCTCGGGACCGTCAAAAAACGACTCAGGACGAAAAACCGGTGCCGGGGAATGGGTCGGGACCTCTGGGGGTCGCGTCATGAAAAAATCATGACGTCGGGGGTCTGGGGCCGGCGGGCCGGGAGGGGGGCGAGGGGGGAGGAGGGCGCGGAGGAGGGACGGCGCTGCGGGGGGCGTGCAGCCGGCCCGTCTAGTTTTAAGGGTGCGCGACGAGGATGCAGGGGGCCCTGGACGCCCCTTTCGAGGCTTTTCGGGCGGGCCGCGGCCAGCGGAAGCGGCCAAGGGTGGGCCGAGAAGGCAGGGGTACAAGGGTACCCTTGGGAAGGTTGCCCATCCTTACTATGCGGGTTGACTGTAGGCATAAGGGGGGGAAGCATCGACCTGGAATCGGCGCTACATCGCCGAGAGATCGGCGATGGGCCCCCGAGAGTACATCCGTGTCTTTCTGGGCAAGTTGTGGCTCTCGGGCCTCTATCGGCGATCAGTGGGCCGATGGGGATCGATGCATCCCCCCCCACGCCTATCCCCCACCCCCTATCGTTGCCCCGGAGAGTAGGGGGAGGAGGAGGAGGAGGAGGACGACGCCGACGATTATGGTGGTGATGTTGGTGGTTGGTGGTGACCGGTGGTGCTGGTGATGATGGTGATTGGAGGTGGCCGATGTGATAACGTTTAAAATCATTGTGATGGTGATTGGTGGTGATCGATGGTGAATGATGACGGTGATGATGATCTGGCTGAATGGTAGTGGCCGATGGTGTTGGTGACGATTGTCATAACTGTGACAGAGAGTGTGTTGATACATTGTGATGGCTGGCGGTGGTGATGATGATTCTGTTGGTGATGGCGGTGACGATCGCGAATAGGGGTTGGGAGGCGACCGCTTCTGTGCCTTCCGCGTGCAGCCACAAAATCCCCAAGCCCGATCTCCCCTGATCCGGGGAAGTAGGCGGGATGAGGAGGAGGGAGGGAGGAGGGAGAGATAAGGAGGATGAGGGAGGGATAAGGAGGAGGACGGAGGAGGTCGGAGGAGGACGAAGCGAGATGAGGAGGAATAATGAGGATGATGCTGATGATGATCATCATCATCATGACGATGATGATGATGATGATGATGATGATGATGATGATGATGATGATGATGATGATGATAATGATAATGATAATGATGATGATGATGATGATGATGCTGATGATGATGATGATGATGATGATGATGATGATGATGTTGATGCTGATGCTGATGCTGCTGCTGATGATGATGCTGATTATCATTATTATTATCCTGCTGCTGGCGATGGCGAGGAGGAGGAAGAGGAAGAGGAATAGGACGAGGAGAAGGAGGAGGAGGAGGAGGAGGAGGAGGAGGAGGGATGAGGAGGAGGAGAAAGAGGAGGGGGAGGGAAGACGAGGAGTGAGGAGGAGGAGGGAGGAGGAGGGTAACGAGGAGGGAAGAGGGGGGAGGATGAGACAGGTGAGCATATTTCGCACAGTAGGTTTTGCATTTAGAGTTGTGTGAAGTTTCTTGTCACTGTTATCCGATCTGGCTCAAGGGAAAAACATTTACTGCCCCTGCTGCTGCCACAGTTGGTAGCGGAGCCTGGTTCCCGGCCGGGGGGCCCATGGGTGGCACGGCGCGGCCTTGAAGGCCACGGCCAGTCGCCGCTCGAGTGCCTCCGGCCGCGGGCCGGGCTCGCGCCGACGGGGCGGCGCGGACAGCGGAGATGCCCGCAGACGACGAGGGCTTCATAGGAGCCGTCATCGGTGGTGGTGGTGAAGAGTCGGCGACCGCTGCATCAGGAGCAGCGGAGACAGGACGAGTGACAGTGACGAAGGAGCAGCTCAGGGACCTGGTCTCCGGGATGGTCCGAGAGACCATGAGCGCCGCGGGGGCGCCCCAGACAACCAAGCCCGAGCAGCCACAGGCTACTGCCGAGGGCCGACAAGAGGATCCATGGCAAGCAGCAGCAGCAGCAGCAGCAGTAGCAGATTGGCGCCAGGACGGCTGGCGGCGAGACGGCGAGTGGCGACAGCTCGACCACAAGCACGCCGAGGCCGACCAGCACGATGCCTGGCAGGACTACAACAAGGACGGCTGGAGCGCAGGCTGGGGCCGGCGCGACAGCTGGTACTCTGGCAGCTGGAGCGGAGGAGGGGTCAAAGGTGACTTCTCAGATCCTCCGGCGTGGCCGGGGTGGACGCATTACAGACAATGGCGTAGCGCCCTCAAGCGTTGGGACAATAACACTGATGTCCCCGTTTGGCGCAGATATGAAAAGTTTCTCAAACTGTTCGACTGGAATATGCAGGCCAGATTTGAAGATCTGTCAGAGCAGTCAACCTCAGGAGCCAGCTGGATCACCACAGTGCTCGAGAGGATGAATCTGATGATTGGCGAGCGAGAGGGCGACGAGCTCAGACGCACCGGCAGGCGCGCCCTCTTCGAAGCAGCCAGAGAGAACAAGGAGAGTCTCACGCAGTACGTCATGAGACGAGAATCTCAGTTTCAGGAAGCTGAGGCCAACGAGCTCTGGCTGTCGTCCAAGATGAAAGGCCTGATGCTCGAGGAGGGTGCTGGCCTCTCGGGACAGAGCATGCAGAACCTTCGCACGCTCACCCGCGGACAGCTCGACTACGAGAGTGTCACCTGGGCCCTCAGGCAAATGGACGCATCAGGATCTGAGCACCTGCTGCCTGGTAGGAGCACGACAGCCTTGCCGGCCGTCGAGACCGAAGAGTCTGGCGCCCAGAGCAGTTTCCCTCATCCTCCCCCTCCCTCGTACCCAGTTGGTCGGTCCGAGGTAGGTTCCGACGAAGACGCCGAGCTGGGCGGGGACTTCTACGACGACGACCTCGATGAAGAGGACGAGGCCGCCATCCTGGCGGAGCTGGAGGACCTTGACCTTGACGAGACGCAGCTCGACGAAGCGATGGCCATGATCGAGTCGAGGTCCAACCAGCGCACCTGGAAGCAGAACAAAGATATCAAGAGGGCGGCCAAGCGTGACCGTGAGTACTTTGCCCCAAGGCCGCGACCAGGAGGCGCCGGGAGCGCCTCGCAGCCACGGTCTCGCCCGGCCGGGGGACGGACGGATCGCGGCGGTCGCGGCCGACAAGAGCGAGGGCGAGGCGGAGGCAGTGGCGCCCGAGGTTCAGGATTCAGCCGCAAGAAGCTGTCTCCCGAGCAACTCATGAAGATCACCAGGTGCGGCATCTGCAAGCAGAAAGGTCATTGGCACCGAGAGTGCCCAGAGAAGGACAACCCCAAGTACGCCAACCAGCGGAAGGGGATGTCGGCCTACATGTTCGACGGGGTCGTGTCCGGCTCTGGGGACTGGGTTGTCACTCCCGAGCTGCTGGACCAGTGGAAGGAGCTGGGCCAGGCGATGCAGGACGCCGGCATCTACTTGGTCGGCAAGCCCCACCCAGAGCCTCGTCGACCCAGGGGCCGGCAGCGACCTCGTGGGCTTGATGGCGCTGAACCGCGAGTCGCTGGCGCTCGCGGCGGTGGGCCTGAAGTTCGAGACCATCCCGAAGCAGCACCAGCGCCCGAGAGCAGCACACGGGGTCGGAGTCATGGCGAGGGTCGTGACCTCCGTGCTGTTCCCGCTGTGCCTGGGCGGCGTGCTGGGGATCATCGAGACTACGGTCCTCCTCGAGGAGGTTCCCCACATTTTGTCGGTGAACCTGCTGGAGTTCCTTGGTTGCGTGATCGATTTGCCTCAAAACGTGATGAATTCGACCACCCTGGAGGTGGATATTCCTTTGACACGCTTGGGATCAGGCCATCGCATGGCCACGATCGTGCAGCCGTTAGAAGCACCGCTGCAGATCCCAGACGCCGCGTTGCGGAAGTATCCCTTTCTGTCCGCTGGCGCCTTCATGCTAGAATCAGACAAGCCTCCGGAGATGCTGGAGTCCGGGGAGCTTCGCGGATACAGGATCATCATTCATCATGTCGTGCTGTACGGAGTCTTGTTCAGTCTCCTGCTGAGCTTCGGGGCTGTCTTGTGCGAGGCCCCGAGCGGCCAGACGTCTATGGGTCTCTTGGCGGGCCATGCGGGGTTCGCTACGGGGTCTTCAAGTCACGGGCTCAGTTAGCGTCCCGCAAACCAGTCGGGGCCTTCGGATCATCTGGGAAAGCTAAGGCGACGGTCAGGCACAGCGAGTACGAGAAGCAGGGACGATCCAGGGTGCCCTCGGCTATGGGATTACTCATCTCCGTAGCCGCTTTAGGCTCGAGCCTCAGGCAAGTGCTTTCGAGATTGATCGCTTCCCAACCAGGATTGTCCCCTCGGTCGAGCCTGTGCCGCAGACACCGGCATCGCCATGCATGTGCTCGCGACGACCCTGGTGCTCCTCGCCGGGGTGATGGTGCAGTCCGCCCCGAGTCCAGCGCCAGTGCCGGCGCCGAAGAAGCCTCCCAAGGCTCTAGAGGAGACGCAGGAGAGACTGCGTCAAATGCGTCGGGAGCAAGCGGCAGCCCAGGCCATGCAGCAGGCGGCCGAGTCGGAGGACCCAGATGCCAACCACGAGATGATGACGCTACAGTCGGACTCCGAAGGCGAGCCTTTTCAGATCCCCCAGCTCCCGATAGGAGAGGGATACCCATATGGATGGCCTCCGTCTCAAGCATCAGGCGCCCAGGGCGCCGGAGCAGCCGCAGTCCCGGGGGCGGCGGCTTCATCGGGTCAGGTGGCCCAGCCACCGCCACCAGACCATCCGCCGCCAAACTTCGTGCCGCATCACGCTCCAGGAGCGACTGCCGGACGCCACGGCCCGATGGGCACGGCATCCCAGCATGGCGCGGAGGCGCTCGGGTTCAGCAAGCAGAGGGCGGCGGCACGAGCTGGAGAGCTACGCGCAGC